GCGCCATTCATTAACACATAGACACGCAGAATTCATATTTAAATAGTCGTTTTGCGGCTTAATATTTACAAATACTAGTGGGAGTGCGCATACGTGTGTGTGAGTGTGTGTGTGTGTGCGCGCGCATCGGGGCGGAACTCCGCTCTGCGTTATACAGAGAGCGCGACCATAACATAGAGACCGAAATGACATGCCTTCGTGTAAATAAGATAAATAACATAAGGCTATTTAGTTTGTTTAATAAAATAACAAGGTATAGACCCGTTCTATCGGAAAGGTAACTTTAAATTACTTCTGTTGTGATCTGGTGATATAGAGAAAATATAATTAAATAAAATTAACTTGACCTTCGAGGGGGGTGGAGGGTGCCGTTGGTTGGGGCGGGCCGCCCCCCTAATATAATGGCAGGGGAAACACTGGTGTGGTAAATCGGACGGCAGTACGCCGGAAGAAAGGAAGTGGGTCAGACATAATTTTTTTACCACTTCTTACGTTTTTGTTTGTAGAATCCCTTTTTTTGAAAGGAGTTTTGTTTGGTATAATTTGTATCTTAATTTTAATATGTTTTTTGTTGGTCAATTATTTACCTAAATAAATAAGAATGAATAAACGTTTCGTGGAATGAAGTGCGTTCAAGACAAAGCCCGCTACCATGCTTCCACGGCCAAAACAAAGGCCGGAACATGTATTATTTTATTAATTTACTTATTTATTTCATGCTATTTACAATGAAAATGCTATAATTTAATAATTGACACCCCTCATTTAATGACACCCCTCAAGTTTTCATCTGGATAATCTGTTAAGCGAATCTGAGTGGCTGGCCTTTTACTCATTTATAAAATGTTTCTCTCTCCATTGTGTGATATTAGACATCTTGGAACATTTATGCTGCTACTGAAATATGGCTTTAATTCATTCAGAGGTTAAATAACGGAGAGCGATTCAAGAACATTGGCAAAGGAGTAGCCATCGAATTTCTCTAAATGTGCAATTAACCCCGACCTGCAATGCACTTTCCAGAGTTATCGTACACTGCAGGAGGTTGTTAGAAAGGCAACAGTGTCATACCTGGAGCAAAACTGGTCTTGCCGTAATATCGGACAACCCCTGTCCTTTGTCCCACCACCAATACACGCTCCCCCAAATGCACCTCTAGGCTCTCTTGTGTTGTGCTGCTGGCTGAAGGGGTCCTGCTGCGAGCAATTACTGATGAGAAAAAAAAAAATGTATCCAAAACATCTTAATCTCTTACAGATGCACTCTATAATTGCTATCCAATGTAGTTATCATTGTTTACAAAAGAAAAAGGAAATTAAAAAAGAAAAATGAATACTACGGAAACCTAAACACAGAAATTATGCCAAAACATCAACTTTGAAAAATTACCACTATATGGATGAACCTTCTACTATTAATATCCGTTTAAAAACATTACGCATATTATACTCAAAATATAGGAGGGGGTAGGGGAAGTTGCATCAGTTAATGTATCATAATATTATACATTAAAATGTTAATTGTATAGTAAATTTCATGTGTCCAGTGACCAGATATGTAGAAAGGTTACTTGGAAAAGGTTACAAATACTTGGGAAAGTTACAGACACTTAGACGCATTGTTATGCTAAATACTTGCAACATGGCAGTAAGTAAGTAAATAAATAAATATTATTACAGTTTTTAAATGAAGAAAATGTCTTCAAATAATCTGAGAGAGTGCAGGAAATGATCAAGGATTGTCCCTAAGAAAAAATAAAATAAAATAAGAAGCTACTGTAGCTATGCAGATTTTGTAGAAATGCAAGGAGGGAGAAACTTTAAACAACATTAAACCTTCTCATGCTTCTCAAGTTTATGGATATCTGTAAATGCTGTGAATAGTGTACAGCAGAACAAGACTCAGCAAAGGGATAATGCGTTATTAAGTTTTTTTTTGATGATCTACTAATTTATGTTTGCTGTGGGATTAGTCGTTGCCCTTGTGGGTGATGCAAGACTGTGTTAAGAATCTGATCCCTCCTCAGGGTTTATTTTGTGATAATGTTAATGGACATTATTATTTACAAATACAAAATACTATTTACTGTAGATAGTACCGTAAAAACTAGAGTTTGCAACAAGGACGTACCAGAGTGTGGCGTGGCGGTGAGGGAACGGGAGGGAGGAGGAGGAGTAGATCTGGTGCTAGGAGGGGTCCGTTCCTGCCATGGCCGCAGCGGTGGTCTTTGACGTGGGAGTGGCCGCGGTGGTCGCCTGGATGTTTGTCTGGAGTCCAAAGAGGAAGAGGAGGTGGAACAACTGCGTGAAAGAAGACCTGTACAGACAGAAAGAAAAGATAGAGTTGAACTATAACAAATCCATCCATCGTCTCTCAGAATTTAACATTTCTTGGAGGTGCCACTGATTCTTAAGGGGAAAGTGTACAGAAACTGCAGAAAAAAAAAAGCTTTCATGATATGATGCAGACAATAAATCACGCAGAATAAAATTGTATAGAACAGGAAAATTACTCCCAGTTACCATTAACCTCTCCTCCTTCTTGCCTAAATAATATATCATGCAAGGGAAATCACTTGCGCTCCACTTCTATTGGTATTCGCCACGTTGTGTTACTCATTTGCATAAAGGTAAACTTTAAAGGTCCCATATTTTACACCTTTCTGGAGTTTTATTTTAGGTTTTGATGTCCTTAAGAATATATATTTGTGGTATAAGTACCAAAAACCATCTCAATATATTTTTACAGCTCCTTTCTCAGGAGCTCTGCTGAGAACAGGTCGATTTTGGCCTGTCTAATTAATATTCATGAGCCTCTCTTCTGATTGGCCTGTTGTCTTCTGAGTGACGCACAGGCCAGGTCAACCACAGGTAACTAGGATCAGCCGACGTCACAGCGCTAGCGGGAGGCAGCAAAACAAAGAGGAAACTGGAGGCGACCCATTCAAACCAGCGCAGATTCGGCTACATAAGGAGGTTAAAATATCATCTTGTGATGTTGGGTGCCAGAATCGACGTAATACAGCCTCAAATTAGAAATTTGATCGCATATCTGCTGCCACTGCCAGACAAAAAAACGACGACAGCTGTGGTTAAACATGATAAAACGAGCAGACTGGACAGAAACGACCGTCAAAAATGCTCGCGTTTGCAGCACACACTTCTTATCAGAAAAGGTTAAATAAAGTATTGTCGTTTGTTGTTATGGGCGCGTCTACAGATTCCTTGCCATATGTCTATTTCTTGCATCTCACGACTATGTCGTGTATGAAATAATGTCTGTGCATGTGTATAAAACAACAAACTGACAATTTATATATAATCATTTGTAATTGTATATACATTGTTGTGATTAATTGTGGCTGGAACAATAATGTTCTGTGTGAACGGCTTGGTTTCAGTTTTGACGTAAACAACTTATTCTCCGTATTGATGTTCTCTTTTCCCGCAATGTTTGTAATTAACAACGCAGCAGCGCCGCATCTAGTGGCTTCAACTGGATAAACTAACTTACATCGTCATTGCATCTCGTGCGCCACTGATAAGGCTGCCTCCTTAACGCACACCTAAAATTCGAATGCAACATTTTTGCATTCGAATGTGGATTTTTATTTTAAATTTGACGAATATTCGAAATTCGATTTTATTTATTTTTTGACAGCCCTAATCCACACTGGTTGCTGCCACTCATGTCACGTCATACTGCCAACTATCACTGAAAATTACTGACTTCAGGTCACTTTGTCACTGCAAATAGCTGTCAGTGTGAATGTCGCTTGATGAGCCAAGTGTTAAAGGTTCATAACTCTGCAATCAGTAATTGCAGGAGAAGCATTACATGAATTAGCACTAGAATTCAGCTAAGCTCTATAATGTCACTAAGTGGTCAAACCAATTAAATAATTAACCAGTGATTATCATACTAAATAATTAGCATGGAAAACAGGTGCAAAACCTCTACAAATATGAGCAGCACAAAAATCAGTCCATGCACTGAAAAAATAAATATTAAAACTGAACAGGCACAAGTATCTGACATAGCAATTGAGGCTTGCCAACATCTAAAGGTCACGTGACATGCTATGAGAATGCTGCTAAACAACGTGCTTCCCAGCTGACTTCAGACTGAGTGAATTTCAAACTATTTATTTTGGCAGAATGACAAAACCTCAAACGCCATTGGAAAAATAACAGAAAATAATATTTCTATTTTTATTTACTACAGATTAATGGAAGAGTGGCCATATTAACACTATGTTAATTCACAAAATTTGGGGCAAAGCCATTAATCACCTCAGTGTTGGTTTTCATAAAATGTTTACACTACAAATCCACATGCAGCTAAAAGAAAATGCTACATAAAGTCTGCAATTCTTTGAACTAGGCATTTGACATTAATGTTGAACTGTGTAAAATAAAATAAAATATAAAATTATAAAAAATACAAATTATTGTCAATGAAATTCTGATCCCTAGGTATGGCTCAGATCCCTCTCCCAATGCAAGCCTATGGGATTTTTCATCTATTTTATCGTCTACCAAATATAAATGGTAGATGGCTTTGAAAAACCATATCACACCTCTCTTCAACGAGCCACATGATTTGATTTACCATCCATGTCTTTAGCTCAGATGGTAAAAGGTAAGGTTTAATACATAAGAGTAAAAAGTTTGTTCAAAGTTGTTCCTTTAAAACTAATAAAAACAAAAATCTACCAATAGACACTAAATGCAAAAGTCACTTTATTTAATTATTTTAGCATTCCAGGCCTTTAATATGGAGTCTTTGAAGCCTGTCTGAGTTCCAGCCAAATGTTAATCTTGTGGAACCATGGGAAAGTGCCCAAGCCTTGGCAGAGCACTGCAGACATCTAACAAGACCTAAAAACATTATCTACTGCACTTAAAGGACCAAGAAATAGGCCACACGAGAGAAGCAGCTTTAACCTTCCAGCCCTCGGAAAGCATTTTGGAATGAGGGCTCTAATTAAGCCATCATATTCACAGACCTTCATGGGCTAAAGAGTTCATTAATTAAACAAGTTTAGAGGCTAATTGATAAGCGAGAGCCAAGACTTTTGGAACAGGCGGTAATGCCCCCAAACACAGTCTGCTGTTAAAATACAAAGTCCAAAAATGTTATCTCAGACCAATGTATTAGCCCACCCTCATTTAAGAGGTGGCAGTGGTGCTGGAGGAATGAATTAAATTCCAAGGACATCTTTTAACTGTTCTTGGAGGTAGAGACGTATGAAAAGCAAACGACTAAAAGGTAGAGTTAAAGGCATACTTAGTACCATTATATAACATAACATCAAAATACAATATCATTGTAGTGATTGTCAGTGAAAGAAAATTTCAAAGATAAACAATTTACTGTTTAAAATGATATTAAGACAAAAACATTTTTAACTGTTAATGGAACTTTTCCTTAAATAATGTGATGAACTGTACCTGTGCATACTTTGCTCTATATGTGAACCTGAGGGGGCTAACTAGATATTCTTGAGAATCAATGTAAAGATAATGTGTTTGTTCATAATTAAACTCCACAGAGCTACCTTTTAATTTAAGGCCCCATTAAATATTTATTCCCCGCTAAATTTTGTTTTCCATTTTATTAATTAATTTATTTATTTTATGTATGTATGTATTTATGTATGTATGCATGTATGATTCTATGTATGTATGCATGTATGTATTTATGGATTCTGTGTTTTATGATTAAATACAAATACATCATTAAAAATTGTCTAATTAAATGAATTAATAAAACTTTAACAATTTGATTAATCTTTTAAAATGTAATGAAATGAAAACATTTAATGTACAACATTTAATGTAATGTATTTTTTTCAAATATAATGCTGCACAACAGCACTGTATAACTGCATAAATTAATAAAAAACAAACACCTTGGTTGTATATTCCTTAAAAAAATATAATATTATCATTAATACTTAAAGGGGTCATATGATGCGATTTCAATTTTTCCTTTCTCTTTGGAGTGTTACAAGCTCTTGGTGCATAAACAAGATCTGTAAAGTTGCAAAGACTAAAGTCTCAAAATGCGATGCAATGCAACGCAACGCGTAAAAAGACAGTATCATTATAAAGTCATTATAATCAGTAATTATGTCCCCACTGGATGCAACAAATGCCTCGTTTGTAATGGGTTTTCATGTTTTTGTCTCGTCGCTCCGGCCGGACACGGCATCGACAGTATGGTGAGGGGCGTAAGATTTCCGTCTCACGCTTGAGGTATTCGGCCAATCACAACGCACTGGATAGCTGGCCAATCACAGCACACCTCGCTTTTTTAGACCGATGAGCTTTGTAAAAATCGACGCGTTTCAAAAAGGCGGGGCATAGAGGAGAAACAATAATGTACAGTATGTGGAAAATAATGTGTTTTTTTACTTTAAACCACATAAACACATTTCATTACACCAAATACACAAAATAATGTTCTTTTTAGCAGCATCATATGACCCCTTTAAAAGTAATAACAGTAATAGTAAAATATTTTTGTCATAATTTCTTTACGTTAAACCAGACTTTTATTTTGACGGGTTGTCGTGAAGGTCTTTCAGTTTTACTTTCAGTTTCAGTGTGTATTTGACTGTTATTTTTCTCAAATTAAATGTTGTAAAGCTGGTGAAGTGACTCTCAGAGCAGCTCTGGACATTAGGTTCACAAGTGTGCATGTGTTCATATCTCATATATTGAGACGCAGATGCTGAAATCACTCTGGGCGTCACGTGAGTTTGAGTTCGTCTATCAGATGAAACTGTGCCATTCATTTACACAGAGACTTATTAGCAACAGACACTGACTGGCTGTCTGTCTGTTGCATTTATTTCTGCTGTTACATTAATCCATATCCAGTAAAAATGTCCAGAGCTTATTATCGTTATCGGAATACATTTTATCGCAACCTCAATATAACATTGTTTATCATGCAGCCCTATGTGGAATTACATTTCATACAATCAGTCTTTTCAAATACTTTTAGAGTTTGGAGGCCACAGTTGTTCAGCATTGTATAAATCATGTAAAACAGGGTAAGTGCATCATGTTTGACATCACAAAAACAAAAGCATCAGAATCATTAGTTCTGTACACAAGGCTCACACAAAGAAGCAGCATCTATTGGAGTGTTTCGACACGCAGTCCCCAAGGAACCCCTTAAAATGCTAATATATGCACAGTCATCCCTGACCTGTACAAACATTGTTAAGACTAACCAGTTCAATATTAACACTGGAATAAATACCATGAACAGACAGACATTACTAAAACAGTGGAAACACTGCAGTTCATGTTATACTTGACTAGAACAAAAGTCTGATAAAATATAAGCAAATGTTTAATAAATTAAACAGGTAATTATTAAAACAATAATTAGTATAAACAAATCCTCCACGAACTAATATTTAAGCAATTTCACAATTAAGTAGTGCATATTTTAAACAAACAAATCAATCAATCAATCAATCAATCAATCCAAGATCCAGATATTTGAGAGACAGAAACAAAGAGACACACAACAGAAGTCATGTGGTTATGAAGAGCTGTAGAGTGAGACACTACAGATGAAAATGAAAATAATAAAAGTATGGCTGAGATTTGTTGGGAACATTAGTCAAGCAGACAGTAACGCTTTTAGTTTCTTATATGGTCTCCGACTCACAAGAAGAAATGTAGAACATATTTATTCTCAACATTTTCTCTGTTGCCCTTCAAATACATATGCTACATAGTCAAGAAAACAGATTTTCACTTTAAAAGGTTCTAATTAACTTTGCCCTGGTGAATCCTGAGGAGAAGCAATTTCGGCATCTTTAGAACATAAAGCTTGAAAACAATTGCACATTGTGCTGTGCTAAACATAATAAACACTAGAATCACAAGTAGCAAAATGGAAATTAATTATAAAAGTGTCCATGAAATCTGGTTCAGTCAATTCAAATGGGGTACGTGGAGTGTTTTAAAGATGCCCAAAATGAGAGCACAACATGCACAGCACAGTCTTATGAAGTCATTCTTATGCAGCCAAAACATTTATGGCCCACCCTAAAGCTAAAGCATTAAACGTGTGCTAGACTCAACATCTGCCTTTATGGATCGCATTGCTCAAAGAAATACCCTTTTATCATACTGAAATCAACAAAAGAATTCAATTTAATTCAGATATCAATATGTATCGCGATATAATTTTTTTCAATAACGGTGATATGATTTTTAAACACATTTCCGATATTTCGATATACATTACCAGTGTTTCCCATACATTGATTTATTTGTGCCGTTTGACTTCGTTGAATAAACATGAGCACTGCACGTTTCAAAATCATAACACGGCGCAGGTGTTTTATATGAATGTATCTCTGAAGGGAAAGGACTGTCTTCAGAAAAGTTTCGATGGCATTTTCATTTGATCTGATAAATAAGCTTTCATGAGCGGAGCTGCTTTGATTACAGCCATTACTGGAGAAACCGCTAGTTTTATCACTCTAAAAGCGCCTCCTGCTGGCAGAGAATGAGTTTTCATTTTAAATAAGCCCGTCTCCAGCAACATTTCCAGTTTTTGTTGTTGTTCAATTTTTTTTTTCTGCAGCGACTCAGAGAACTTTTCATCCCCTTTTTCTGGCTGAAGCACATTTGTTTCAATCTATAAGAATAATCAGCCTACACTACCAGTCAAAAGTTTTTGAACAGTAAGATTTTTAATGTTTTTTTTTGTAGTTTTTTAAAAGAATTCTCTTCTGCTCACCAAGGCTGCATTTATTTGATCCAAAGTTTTCCGTACCCACTGTATATATATATATATATATAAGTTCTCTCAGTTTGCAAATTATATGGTTGGAGATCTTTTAATGTAAACTTTTTTTATTTTATTATTTGTTTTTTTCTTGAAAAATGATCCTCCACTAAATATCAACAGTTTACAACAAAAGGAAATTGAGATGGTTATACAACCACATAAAAATATAAAGATTTACTACAGTACAAAGGGTTACAGCGATAACAAACCCACCACTTCTCCCTCGTTCTTTTTCATGACAAATTACTGCCAGTCTGTTCAGCCTGATGTGAGAACTGCTCATTAAGTTTGGCTTCATTGGACAATCAATCAACGGGGAACATGGAAATCCACCACGGTCCACTATTCAAATCACCTCAGGAATAGAAGTGAAAAAGAAACACCTTGAAACGGCACTGATTAGAGGACAACATGCAGCTGTCGTTTCTTCTGTGGTGGCCGAGAGGACGGTGACATCGTTAAAGTGTCATTTTAAAAACAACATGTTGCTTGGATATGGTTTTTGTGAACATGTTGGAGGTGCATGCAGAGGCATTCTGGTAATTGGGTGTTTGAATGTGCGTCACATTTGAAGTCAGTCCACGAGTGACTCACAAGTGCCATACAGAGCACGTTTTCTGTCGCCTTCCTTGGATGTGCATATTAGACTTAATGCACACAGTGTGACTCAAACTCTCCCAACCAAAATGAAAGAATGAAAATGGAAAATGCATGAAGGTGCAGACAAGAACATGACAAAGAGGTTTAGGAACAATGCTGTCGATAAAATATAATTTTGCTTCTCTGAAAAGCTGTGATAATTCTTTCAGGTTTTACAACTCTATGCCAGATTTTAAGATAAATTTTCACAAAATATTAGAGATAAATATTCACAAAGATGTAAATGATAATCTCATAAATGTGTGAAAAAATGTCTGAGTGCCCCTGCCTTAAAAAATAAATAATAATACTAGAAAAAAAATATATTTAGCTAACTAAAACCAATTTCTCTTTTTTATTTAGTCTAATAAAATAACCAAAAGTAAAAATTAGTAAAACTATCGAGAAAAAAAAATTAAACTAATTAAAAACAATGAAAACTCATGAAAAAGTAATTTAAATGATGGTGATAATGGTGATGATAAAATAAAATTGAAAAAAAAAACTAATACGAAATATTTAAAGCTATAATAGTATCTCAGCGATACTAAAATAAGCACTGTGAACTAACTGAAAACAATAATTTATTAATAATAATAATAATAATAATAATATTTACACATTTATATATAGTTAATAAACAGTTAAGCATTTCAGGACATTAAGAATTTTTGCATTGTGACATTTCATGACAATTGAGCAAATGTTGCCGTAGAACAAACATTTGTCGTATTACAATGCCTTAAGGGCTCTTCATAAAAGTGCTATTGCCACACAAAGCTATTGAGATCCATATGTCTGCATTTAGCGGTCTGAGTGGACAATACCTGGGCCCTGGAGGAAGACACAGTGGAAATGCTTGTCTCTGAGATAAAAGGAAAACAGATCAACAATGTAACACCAACCTGGTAAAGACCAGCCAACACTCAGCAGGCCACACAGAAAGAGCAATGGAACGTCTCTAGTGTAACAGAGGTGATGAGAGGAACTGCTGTTTATCAGCATTAGTGCACTAATGGAAGTCTGTGAGGGTACACTACCTCTTTCCGCAGACGTATCTTATGAGAAATGAGAGTCCCAGCAGATTACAGGATATCTAGGTCTTACATATACTGTACTTAAATCTGATGCCCTTAGAACTGTGTGTGGGTGATATGTTTATCAGTTTTTTTTTTAACACATTAGCATTTTTCTTTTTATATACAGTACTATGTGTGCATGTGTGTGTGTGTATGTATGTGTTTGTTTGTTTATTTACTTATTCATTCATTTATTCAACATCATAATTTAAGAATACGATATTTTTGGTCCTGTCACTGGTCATGATTATTTGCGTTTAACTACTTTTATTAAAATCTTTGTTTCGTAGTTAATTTCAATTGGTCCAAATGGTTTCAAAATGTAGGCTAGAATATGATAATATGAAAATAATCAAATCCATTATGAATATGCTAGTATCATATTAGCAAGAGATGTTGTTTTGAAAATCAGCACGACTTTGATTCGCTCGCAGATAACTACAGCCAAGCTGATATTCATACAGCAACATTGATTTTCAAAAGAAAGACGGCAAGTTTAATATTGCTTTTATAAAATAGTTCAACAAAAGGAAATACAGTATTGTGTATCCTACATTTTAGACAGTACTCTTGATTCGTCTATTTTTGCTCTGCATACAAAAATAGTGCAAACCACTGCATGTCTCAAGGCAATACAAAGTAGTGACATTTAGTCCCTGAATTATTTTTTAAATGAATTAGTTGAGTGAATGATTCAGTGATCCACTTAATTATTATAAAATACTGGCCTAACAATGTAACGCACAGAAAGTGTCAAAAAATATGTCTATAACCTATATAACCTAGCTATTTGTTTTAGTATAAATATTCCATATGGTTCACAAAACCATCACAAATAATGATCATAAAGAAATGATCAAAAATTATTTCCTAACACTCTAAAATAATTTTAGAATGAATATGCCATCACAACAGGAATAATTTTCAAAAGTATTTGTCGCCTTCCCTTGTACGAAATCCCTCTGAGGTTTTCTGTCATGTATGATAATACATGAAGACTTTAAATGAGTCATTTGTCCTCTTTCATTTGTATACGTGACAAAAGCAGAGTTTATGCATGTTAGTGTGATTCCCTCCACACATCGGTGGGTGTCACATCTGTATAAACGGGCCCTGGGGTGAACGCTGTTATGGCACACAAGTGATATTAACTCCCTCAATGATTCCTCAGTGCTCACATGGCTTTTTATAATCCCTACAACACCAAAGGGGACAGAATAAAGCGGTAACGCCAACTGCTTTATCACCACCGTCGCGGTTCACACTTGTGTAAGTTTATTTATCAAGCAGGTCCTCTGGGATGGTAATTAGTTTTGAGTCTGTGGTGGCCGCTGGGTTCCTCCTGATATTGGGTTTGTGAGCTGTAAAGGGGATCATTAAGCAACCGGGTCAATGAGAGATGTACCTGTGTTGACCTTGGACGTGACTCGTGCCAAGTCAATCCGTCTTGGGTGGGGAACGGGAGCGGTGGGCTGGCGGGGACTGCTTTTCCGGTGTTCTGATAGTTTGCTGACTTTAGAAAGGGGGGCGAAGATTCCTGGAGAGGGACAGAAAGAAATTATTTTGTTGAGAACAGACATCGCCAACTATATACATTACATATGTGAAGATTAATATTATGTGTGTCGATATCATAATTGAAATGCGAATTAAAATTTTGCCTGCTAGGGTGCAATGTAACATTGTGAGAAAAACTATTGCTACATATGACGAAATATCATCAGGGGTGCGTTTCCCAAAACCAACTAGCTAACTATGGTCGTTAGTTCTATTGAACTGCATTGGTAATGACGGAAATTGCGACCATAGTTGTTTTGGGAAGCATGTGACCGATAAAATGCCACTAAATATTCAACATAGAAAAAAAAAAAAGAATAAACAAACAAACATACAGTATCTCACCTTCGGAGACTGGGCCGCAGGGCAGTATTCCAAAATAATAACGACCCCAAACACACCTCCAAGACGACCACTGCCTTGCTAAAGAAGCTGAGGGTAAAGGTGATGGATTGGCCAAGCATGTCTCCAGACCTAAACCCTATTGAGCATCTGTGGGGCATCCTCAAACGGAAGGTGGAGGAGCGCAAGGTCTCTAACATCCACCAGCTCCGTGATGTCGTCATGGAGGAGTGGAAGAGGACTCCATGGTTAATTCGTAAAAAACTGACACTCACAAATCACTAGTTATGCTCAAATGTTGCTGTTTCTTACTGTCACAACTGTGGCTGGTTAAGACAAGCAATAAAATTGAATAGAGACTGGTCAATGATTTATCACATTTTACCTGGTTATCTACTTAGTAAACATTAACCATTACTAGTTAAATATTATTAGAACACACTTGTCAAAGTCATAGCTGGTTTTGGAAGAGACGACTAATTTTTTTGGTGCTTTGTTGTGCCCAGTTAGCTGGTTAGTGAAATTACACTGACAAGTTAACTACATATGCTTATATACCATCATATTATAACTGTCAGAGATATGGCAGGTCAAGACAAAAAAAATCAGATTAATGCACAAAAAAGACAATTCCTTGGTGATCTATCATGTTGCCTCTGTTTTACTAGTTCGCAACATTACACTCAGTGTGTGTGTATATGTATATATATATATATATATATATATATATATACACATACATACAATCTGTTTGGAGGCATGTCTAGAGGCTCTGGAACAACATCAGCCGGACACTGGCCCTTATCATTCTAAAAAGATAAGGTACAATGAAAACATGTCTAAAAACACAAAAATGACATGCATAAAAACATCCTAAATGAAATAGCAACAGGTTAAAGGAAAAACCAACATAAAGTGTCTTAGTAAGGTGTTGGGCCACCACATGGCATCACAGAATCATCATAAAACAAGGGAGATCTCTCAGAACAACTTTGTATTGATTTCCAGGATGGATCTTCCTTTTATTTATCACCTGTCTGTATATACCACGAGTCAGCTTTAAAGAATCTCCAGCTAACAAGCTACTTATAATGTAAAGTAGTTAAGCTGCGGTCAAACAAATCTTTTAAAAAAAGTATGTGGATTCACTACCAGCAACTAACATAACGTGTCTAACTAAATTGAAGCTATTTAAGGAGATTTTTTTTAAATCATGCAACTGATGTAAATTTAGTTATTATTAAAAGCAATACAGAGATTATTTTATTGTGAGGGTGGCATGGTGTAGCAGATATTGCTAAACAAATTCAACAAAAAAACAAAACAATCTATTGCAAAATGCTGCAGGCTGCTTAGAGAGTTCACTATTGATTGCTGGCTTGATTTATTTTTTATTTTTTTCATAAAAAGATAATTTCAATGCAGCATTTAGTCATGCTAAACTGCTACCTGTTAAAGAAAACAGATTCTTTATTGGAAAAGCTACACTATGTTGTAAACAGCTCGGCTGTCATGCTATTAAAAATAAGTGTTACCTTATTTTCAAGAATCTTTTTATTTTTTTTAATCATCTGAAATGTGCTGCGACTTATATTCCAAAGCAGCTTATATAATGCAATTATAACTTATGCCCACAAAGCATGTGCAAAGTGCACACATTTGGATTCGTGCCGAATGAGAGAGGTTACATGAGCCCAAGTTTATTTCTATGGCACATTTCCCACACTTAAAAATGTTTAACAGTATGTCTCATCAGCCCCCTCCAGCCAAACAGCTCAATACCTCTACTGCAGCACGGCTCAACACCATTTTTAAATGTATTACACAGCCAACTGCCTGAGTAGTGGACT